GATAAAATGTAAGGTAAAGGTGAGAAAGCAACTTGAAAAGACAGAGAATGAATAATGTTTTTGCTTTTAAAAACGGGTCTTAAAATTTGTAAACAAGTTCCACAGGATGCAATCATCAACAATAATGAACCGAAACAAGAAGTCATCATCATCATCACCCATGGGACTCCTCCTAAATCCAAATCATTAAAACCCTAGACCCAAACATTTCTAATAAAAAAAGGACTAGTTTCTGTCTTTCTTTTTTTTACTGGCTCAATAGTATTCAACACTTTCTCTCCCATGATGAAAAAACACTAATCAATCAACCGTCGATACGCTGAAAGAAGTAGAGATAACCCATGTCTTTAGGAGGATCTGTCGAGACACCGACTTTGCTGTCATTGAAGATAACCCAACGACCTTCTTTCAGTATGTGTGCTACATAGTGACCGCAGTGAGTTGATGTTCCCATATGGCTTACTATCCCAAACAGCTTGTATCCTAAGGTTTAACACAAACGGAAGCTTTTTGAGTTAGAATCATTCTCACTTTGGTTTGTTTTCGAAGATGAAAAGGTAAAAGGGTTTTCAAGAAACTAACTCCCTCCTCCGTCTGGTAATCCACTTTGAGCTGGAGTCTGCGCTGAATTGCTAGACGAAACGTCCATGTCCGAAGAAGATGCATTAGGATTGTTGAATATCCAATCTGTTGCTTTCTCAATATCTCCTTTCTGATATAATAATATATAAAATATAAAAAAAACAGAAGCCAGTGAGATTTCAGTAATAAGAGTGAAGAAAAAAAGAGCCTCAGCCAAAATGCAACTAATCTGCTCAAAGGCGTAAGAGAAAATTTACCGAGGCTTTGAGTGCCTTTCGAGCAACGTCTTCAGGAAAACCAAAGGAGATTAAGGTATCAACGCTTGATTGATCAACATCAGTTGTCTGATGGGAGATTGGTGCATCGATGTCTAAAAAACATAATACATCATCGGATTAGAAATTGGTCTCGAAACGTATCTTAGTTTTAAGAAAGAAGTCAAGCATCAACACCAAACTCGTGGATATATTTTCAGTTACCTGGATCATCCATGTGAGAAAGTAACCAGTTCATCGCCTCTTCAACCCCAGCATTAGAAGTATTTATGGCAGCTTTCTGGCAATGAAGTTGGTTAAATCCCATTGAGACAAGCTGTGCAACTATCTCCTCATTTGCCACAGGCTGCGCTGATTCCATCACTTCTTCTGGAACTGTATGCAGAGAAAAACGAGTAGACAACAGAATTTTAGGGAGAATACCAAATAACCTTGTTTATCTAACAATATGATGAATAACGGAGGGAGTGGAGAGTATAAAAAAACACATTATCAAAAAACAAAAAACAACCAGAATAAGTAGATTAAGCATATAGTGAAGGCAGACTAATGGAAGGAAATATCCTATGTGCATCCAAAAAATCCTTAGCAGAAGTGTACTTTGGCTGTAAAAAGTTCCAGCAGAATGATAATGTATCCGCTCAAAAATGTATCTAAGTGCTTCAGCAATTAAGGATCATTCAAAAAAACTGTCTTGCACAGCATGCAACAATACACAAACTTCATTTCTAGAAAGCAACTGCCCTGATAAAGAAATCACTGAAGGTATGCTTTTCCTTTTTAATACTTAATAATCTGAATGCTTATTCCAAGACAGATTCAAATTGCAAGTAGTCATGACCACTAGGAAAATTAGCACGAGGTCAAAACGATCAATAAATTAAGTCAATCATTATTCAAGTGAATCACATGAAGCACCATTCTTGTAAATAAATATAACAACATACCGCCATCTGGTAACAGTTCCTCGCAAGGTTGAAGTCCTTTGCTGCGCATGTGGCTGATATCAATTACATCCGGAACATCAATGTACACGTCTGCCTCAGCAAATCAAGAAAAAGATAATAAGTATTTATATACAGGGCCAGTAGGGGAATTTAATAGGATTGCTGTTTCAGAAAGAGACCAAGCTTCTTTGGCACCCAGCCCTCCTCCATAACAAACTTCCGCATGTGCAAAACCAAATAATCTGGGAAAGATGTCAGACCGGTTGTCCTGCATAAAATGGAAACCAAAAGTTAACCCTTAAAGACATTAGTTTACTTTCCGTTTAGTCTTGGTTATGCTAGGATTTACTCAGAAAAGAAACATCGTACTTGATAGCTGTTGTCTTCCCCTTCAGAGCAGTGCTATAGAAATCATGAATCTGCTCTGGTGATGCAAAAGTTGCTAGACAAGCCTCTAGAGGAACTCGTGGGCGTACAATTTCATCAGTTGACCTGCTAAGAATAAATATATATTAGATATGTAGAGAAGCTATGAAACATATGACATTTGAGTCAATTAACTCACATATCATTTTCTTCCGCTCCTTTCCCTGCTTTCTGATTGTTAAAGGCTTCTAATTCAGCTTGATCACCAAACATTAAGCACAACAAAGACCACATAATCAACAAACACACCAAATGATAAAGGAAGAGGAACAGAGAAGGAAAAATAGGATATACCTTTATTAGTTGCCTCATGCAGCGGAATATTCAAAGAAAGAATACAGTCATCCCTCTTATTGTATGCAACTTTTCCAGATGAACAAAGGATCTTTTCCTCTACTCCAAACTTGAAGCTCCTTGAGGGGTCTAAATCTGGTCTATTGTTGCTGCCACGCTCAACCTTGTCTAGCAAATGGAGGAAAAACTCAAGAGCATCCTTCAAGACAGGATAGTGCTAGTTAGTGTGAAAACATAATGAGTTTTGTAAACAGATGCCTAGGAGGAGCACCATTCAAACACAAGTTAGAAAATATACAATATTCTGAACCTATAAAAGACATCATTTTCACCTGTTGTCTCACAGAAGAGAATTCTGCATGGCCTGCAGCAATTACGGATTTGAACATCCGAGGAGGTATTCCTTCTTGTTTCTAATATCGATTAAAGAAAAAAAAATATATGTTTAGTCATCAGAAATCCACACAAGAGGGGTAGGCAAACCAATTTGTGCCATCCACACGTATGTATATTTCTTCCAAAGTCAAACGAAGGAATTCAACCATTTCATTGCATGGACGCACTTGTCTATTTCTACTTACCACACAAGTCATAACAAGAAAGAAAGCCTCTAAGAGTAGAAAATGGCTCAAGATGAGGAACTAGCCATACAAATTCGAAAGACAACCACTAGGATAAAAACATCAATATGCCTATAAAGCTCTTGATCAATAAATGGTTTCTATCAAAAGATCAATAGGAAATCTATTATACATATTGACTAAGAAACTTACAGCATCTCCAGTTGCAGCATCCTTCTGCAATCAGAAGAATGGGAAAATCAATATACTGAGGCCCAAAGAGGTGGTT